TTGAATTTAAACGTCAAATATTGGTTCATTCTCTGTCGTTCGTAATATTTGGAACAGTGGACGTGATGACACTACTTGAGAGATCAAAAACAAGTCTCGCGATTCTCGCTCTCAACGAGATTTTGGCGCCATTTGCATATATTTCTTAGACGTGAGAACTTAAAATGTAGTTTTTAACTCTGCCTTCAGTCTGGATCATTCGAATTCGAGAGTTGAGTTTGTTTTTGTCATGTAACTATATCTTTGTTGATAAATAATGAAGTAGATAAGATGTTGATTATACACTTTCGAAAGATCTTTTGGGGAGGGGCTGAGCTTACCTAATTACTTTTATGGTATCATAAAACTGCGTTTTTACATTCTTCGATTTTGTAAATATTTGTTTAAGGTTCAGGTCGGATTTCCAAAAAAAACAAAAACAAAAAAAAACATTGAAAATAATTCACTACCAAAAACCTAATATGTTGCCTGATGTCAATAACACAAACATTAATGCATGTTCTTATATGTAATTTATTTTCAGAACGATTCCTGGATGCAGATGGAAAATTATTGCCCCATCCAGACAGTTTCATGCCCTTTTCAGCTGGACGCAGAGTGTGTATGGGAGAAGCATTGGCTAAGAATGAACTGTTTCTCCTTTTCGCGAGTGTGTTCCAACACTACACATTTAAGGTACCAACCGACGGCGAGAAGCCGTGCTTGAAGACGCATTGCGTCGGGCAGGTTATAAGAGTCTGTCCATACGAGGTCATTGCCGTTGAGAGAATGAAATGAATCAACCAATGTGTTAACGAATTCAGAAAAATACACTAAACGTTAGCACTAAGAATTTACTTACTAACATTTGTCAATGTAAAACAATCCAGAATTATATGACACAATTGATCATGAAGAATCCAGTGCCCCCTTAACCGTATCTCCCAACCTAACAGTATAAGCGAGTGTGTATTTTACCGATCATTTCATTTGCGGTCGTTTAGTGCATTTATTTACGTACTCCATAAACTTATCGGGGATTGGGAGGTACTGTTATGGACACTAGAAATTTCTTATAAATCTTTTCATGAACATTTTGCAAACTATTGACACATGTCTCAGTATCCAAAACGATTCCAAGTTTTAATTACTAGTATATGATATTTTGTTATTAAGTATAACAACAAAAATGGAGTTTGAGTGATTGTAAATGAGGTCAACAGTATATATTCAAAGATTTTCATGACAAATGTGCTATGATTTTCTGTTCAGAAAAAAATAATTATAACTATTCCAGAATTGACAAATTTGATTGTTTTTGCTGTATTGCCGTTTTTCTATTTGATATGTACAACATCATATGAGTAGTTTCGTAGATTATGATTAAGTTCATTACATTCTTGGATAAATTCTTACTTATGTTGCCACTCGATCGAAGTAAATATCAATCATTAAAGTGTAAAGTATGAACAAGCATACGTACAAGGATTGAAGACAATTATAATAAGCTTTTCGGGTTTCGATCAGCATAGCTACGAGAACCATAACTCAGTTAAAATTTAAGGATGGTTTCACACATATTTGCTAACAATACAAATCTAATTACAAATATTGAGCGAATGAACTTATTCTAAACATTCTACCATCTAACCAACACTAGCCAAATCAACTAAAAAGCTCAATGGGTCATTAACCTGTCACAATGAATTAGGTTATCGCATATATGAATTATGCATGAGCACGTGTCACATGATATGTATTACACAAGGCGAATATAACAGATAATGGCTCCACTAAGAAAAGTTCCAATATGTATCGGAATAATGTGACATTTATACTAAACTACCATACCCGATTTTATAAGGAATGGCGCATATTACTAAAGGATTACTATTATTCAAGGATGTGGTTTTAACACTCTTTTTATCTGTGGGACTGAGCATTTCAGGATAAAAATAAATGTAGAAATAACATACCCAAACATAGAACATTAAACTAAAGTCATATAGAAAATATACAAGTTCATAAAATACGACTACTAAAGTACATCAGAAGATAATGAATAATACATAGAGTCCAAAGTATACCAAAACGTGATGTCTGGAACACCCTGCTTCATAAGTTGCACCAGTTAAATATATTTCTGAGTCAAAATTACATGAGATGATTTCAGTATAAAACTTTGGGTCTTAATAAAACTAGCGTCATTAATGCCATTTGAAATCCTCTGTGTAACAGTTTTATCATGTTAAACTACGGACGTATTGGTTTGATCATTTTGTAGGAACAAAGGACACGTATCTTTAAATCTCTTCCTATGTACTACAGACATAGACATAGCAAATGCACTCAGAAATATATACCTAATATATAATAGAGTTTAATCTTTGTCTAATGCCCTCCGAACCAAATTCAAGTATGAAGCAGATTTTGTAAATTGTCCAATTTTGATTGCAGCTGCATAACTTCAAAGTATATATTAATATATCTGAATGTGAAATTAAATAATTTTTTATTTGCGTACCATTTGTTTTTAACCAATTCAATTAGCAATTGCTATAGGCGAAAAACGTAAATTTGCTTCAATGGGAGTATCGACACTATGTTGAAAAATCTGCGATTGTTGGTATATGACACTTCATCAGTAGTAACGAAAACACTAAATACAGCCAAACAATACACCACGCACGCATTATATGTTGAACAAAAGGAACAACAAGAAATTCACCTTTTATGCTTGTCATATTTTGAATTTTCGAACAATACTATGTGCGGATGTCTAGTTGGACAAACATTAAACAATAACGTTAACCTTAGTTTAGCAGATATGATTAAGATATTATATGAGAAAACATATTCAGGAAATCTATGCGATTTATCATTATATTGAATATAATCTTACCAAAACTAAATGTATGCACTTTCACATTACCTTCTATTACTATATATGATCATAATATCAGCTTTGTTGAGCGCTTAACTTACCTCGGTCACATATTGACTACGGATTTAAATGACAATATGGACTTTGACTGCCAGGTACGGTCGTTCTGTATAAGAGCTAATATCCTGTTTACAAAGATTCGCCAAATGCAGTTACCAAAGGCATTTACTTGTGTTCAACTGTTTACATATCCAATTAAACATTAATAATGGCTTTGATGCTGGAACGCACTAAGTGAAAAAACCCACACATATCCTAATATATGTGTGTGAAGTTAATACATGTAATAAATATGAACGCCGAACATTTTTAATATTTAATATTTGTACGTCTATATACATGGCTTTAATGTAATATATTATTTTCACATCAGAATGAAACAAGGTAGAAATAATATACCCAACCATTTTTTTGTACAAAAGCCGTACATACAAGAACACAAACCAATGACAAAAATCGACAAAACAAGCGACAAGAACAAAACAAAATAAAGAGAACTGGTGATGGTTGTGGAACCATACCTGCCTCAGCACAAAGACTGTCATGTAATATATGTGAATGTAAAGGGAAATGTATTTTAATGTTACCTCTGTGTAATTTACAATATATCTGCATTAACCTTCAATGTGAAGGACAATGTGGGAGTTGACTTAAATGACTGGTAGAGCAAGGTTGGGCAAATCTTCCGAAACTTGAATAGTAGTTAGTTAGAATCACCAGACACGCAATCAAGACATTGTGGGATATCGAAATATGAATGATAAACAGCAAGTGACATTTTCAGAGATGTAGTTGGAATTGAAGCAAAGGAGTGGCCTATTAATCACACACATCCGTACACATCATCCTTATTGTGTGGGGGGAAAAGCTGTCATGTACACAATCAGAATAACTGGAAATGGTTTCAGAACGGAAAACTGTTTTATTACTGTAAATAATATAACCTAATTGTAACGTGGTCTGCAACAGGAGGTTTAAAATGATGTCCATTCGCAGTGGTGGTGGCAAGGGTGTGGGGTTTTGACAAGTGTTGTATAAACCCGAATAAGAAGTTCGGAGTCACAGTGAAACCCTCTAGTGGTTTCCCACTTCAAATAATACCCTTGATACCCTGTAGAAGTATATCTATTGTTTCACAAGAACGACTGTCCCAAGGGACTTTCTTCTCAATTTCTCACAATAAACCTCCCAATGTTACTAGAAGTAGATGTCATGATATTTAATATTTAAAACCAACCTTCATTTTACAGTCACTCCAGTTTTCACTTTTCTAAAATTATTTTACTGATCAAAAGACTTCACTCCCATCATGCAATCCCTCATAGAGTACTTCCGCAAGCACAGCGACGATCACCAACATAAATACAAAAAACCTCACTTTCGGGAGCTGAGGAATGACTACACAACACAGCACAGTCAACTCAATAACGAACTGTATGTGGACCCCATGGTATACATGAAGTGATTTTAGGATTTCAAAACGAGTTGGCAATCTTACTGTTACACCCGTCATATAACATTACGAAATGCAGATTATGTACTCATTTGATAACAGATTAAATAATCCCTTGTCGTGATTTTCCAACAAAAATTCATACCTTACTTATGAACATCTCCTAGTTCGTGTGGTGCAATACCCCCATTTGATAGCTTCAATATTATTAACATTTTATTTGATCTTACTGGGCATTGACGCAAAGTACCGACTAAGGTATTCTGCTGGGCATTAATATCCAATGCGTGTTTGTCATAGAAATGACGTGCTTAAACTTGTGGGGGGAATTAAGAATAGGGTTTCACACTTATCTCAACCCTAACGAGCGTAAAGTTCAAGGCGCGTGAAACAAGTGACTGTCAATCAAAGGAACAGGAAACAAATAAACGATATGAAGAAACTGCATTTATTACTCGTCACTAGAAAAAGTTACATGTACTCGCGTGCTAAGACAAGTATTCAGGCCTTTTATATGCTCGGTAAGATCAGCCACCGTAACAAATTTTAGCGGGTTTGGTGCTGATTGGTTCATAGTGCTATGAGCTATGATTGGCTAATAAGAGAATATCATTTGAAATGGCGTCTGCTATCGTTATTTGTGCTAGTTCTCTTCGAGTTAAACATGTAATAAAGACGATTGAATTGAATAAACACAATAACAATATAAGAAAGCACTGAAACACAATTGAATAATATTGAATCAATAATACAAACGAATATCACAGTAATAATTAGGGAAATAATAGTGGATTATTCTCCCTCTCATCGACAAAACTATCTAGAAAACGATGCAGGTGATTGAAATGTTAATAAGTTTTGCAATAAGAGATTAAATATGCATCAAATCAATATTTAACAAATCAGCCTTCATATGTGTTCAATATTTTGGGAAGCACATTGAAACCCACTACTCTTTATACCTTGACAACAAAGGATGCGAGAATCATTAGCCAGTGCCGCAGTTTACATTGCCTCAATAAAGCATATATTAAGAATAAAAATAATCTGTTAAGGTAGAGATACAGTTTACCTGACAGGTAATTTAATTAGTTAATTAGGAAACCAAGATGACCTCCCTTGTTCACAAAACTATATATTTTCGGAAAGCTTATTGTATGAATTTTAAAGTTTTGTTAGTATTTTATTTTTATGGACACTGTAGTTTGAAATATGCACAAAAATGTGCTTTTTTTGGTCAAAAGTGATTTAAAAAAAATAGCTTCTAAACCATGCTTCTGTTTCCTGTCAAAATTGGTTTATGGGTACATCTGTTTACTATGAAGAAAGCGCCTCTTGAAAACTGTCTACCAGTTGTCAATTTTGTAGGACAGTAGCTCAAACTCACTACTTCAAGTTTAT